AGTTCACAGAATGACAAGAAATCCATGATATCAAGATGATATACTGGTGATGTTAATCCTTATTGGTTTGGTTAAGGTAGTATTTACGTACTTTCTCCATGATAAAAATACCTTTTCTCCCCCTTTCACGCTATGTTCTTTGGCAGCAAGTCACGAAGTACATGCCCCACTCAATAAAGAAAGGGGCACAGAATTATATTGCATATCTTGGGTAGGGAGGGGACAGTATCTATCTATGCTGTTGGTTGGAATTTTCCTGTAAGGATGACCTGTCACTTTTCTTTCTTTTTTATTCATGCAGTCATTTCTTTACATAAGTATGGCCTCATATATATTTATTTTATACTTCAGGTTATAATCTAGAACTATGTTATTTATTTTGCTGCTCTAGTTGTTCAAACTTTGGTAATTGAGAAATTCTGGGGCCCCTTTGCCATACTATTATCCTTACTTATTTACTCATTTATTGACTACTTTCTTACTTTTTGGCATGGATAGTCTTGTAATTGCTCCAATGTTATCTGGTAATGCTGACTGACATTTAAAAAGTGGAATTGAGGCTTACAATAGTTGAGTAACTTGCCCAAGATCACCTAGGGAGTAAATGGCAGAACTCATATTTAGACCCAGAAACTCTGATGACCAAATCTTTAAGTTCTTGTCAATACATCACGTGCCTCACAAGAAGCTTATGGGTAACTAAAGTCTGGGACTAAAGCAAGGTCAGCCTCATCACTAACCATCAGATAGTAAATTCAGAGACTGCCTTCTGGCCTTGGTTCCTCTGGACGTAGGATGGAGACTGTTGGGTACCTAGTTTTACATTAATCTTGAAAGCTAAAATTAACTTAAAAACTGGGAAAGCCCTGGGCTCTGTTCCCAGTTTGGTATTCTTGCAGGCTTGCTGAGGGCATAGAAAACTAATCTTGACTTGCTTTTTGTTTCTCATTCTCTTTTCTCCTCTTAGGTATCTAGACTGTTGAGCTACATAGCTCTTCAAGTCAAGTTCTATGATCAAACCAGCTAAGACTCTGCTTATTTCTTTCTCCATTATTACTTTCAGCCAAGAGAAGGGGTTAATTTTTAGAAGGTGACTTCACAGAGACTCTTGTCCATCAGTTACACATTTAAACAGGTATTATTTTTAGCTGGCCAAAACATTGGACCTAAAGTCAGGTTGGTTGAACTGAAATGTTAGAAATAGTCACAAGAGAAGCTATCATTTGCACAAAGGAAATAGCCATTTATGGTTATGAGTCAACACAATTTTCTTAAAGGAATATGCAAAGTACTTATATTGGAGTATATATACAAAATACGTGTAGTAGGCGTATAATGCTATACAACTAAACAACATGGGGGTTAGGGGAACCAGCCCTTTCTGTCCAGTCAAAAATCTGAGTATAACATTTAACTTCCTAAAAATTTAACTATTAGTAGCCTACTGTTGACATCAACAGTCGACTAACACGTATTTGTATGTTGTATGTGTTATATACTATATTATTACAATATAGTAAGCTAGAAAAAAATGTTAAGAAAATCATAAAGAAAATATGTTTACAGTACTGTATTTATCAATACTGTAAGTTGACATTGTTTACAAGATAAATTGTCTCAAATGGCGGAAACTGCAGCTGCAGACCTCAATCTACAGTCCATATCAAGCAATTCAACTGTTTCTTTTAATGTCGTGACTTTTCTCTGCTTCTTGGGAGCATGTCCAGCATCACTAGTGGCAATTTGTATGGGTCCCATGGTGTTATTCAAGCTTTACTGTATTGCACTAAACCAGTGTAAATTACATGAGTATCATGAGAGATCACTTTTTACTGTACTAGGCAATTTATTGGAGAGACAGACTGCTCATGCGGAGGTGATTAGCATCACACAGAGTTTTAAGTGGACACTAGGAACACTTGAACTCACCATAATAGCATTTGGACGTGGCCACAGAATTACTATAGTAGTACAGTTATGTACTAATTAATTGTATGCAGCTATGACTTAGTACTACATCTTTGTGTTTGTTTACATTTCTCTCTATGGTTAATGGTTCCATGCATGGTCTGTAAGTGTGTGTGCATGAGTTTTGATAATTCTTAACTTGTTATAATAGTGTACATTTTATAGTAATTAGTAATTGATAAAATAGAAAATAGTATTTACATATATTTTATGCATTCATGACATACCTCACTTTTTCTTATTTTTTGATATTTCTAGGATATGTGGTTCATCAGTGAGTTTTTTCAAATTGTCACAAATCTCTAAACATTTAAAAATATATTTACTGAAAAAAATCTGTGTATCGGTGGATTCCCATAATTCAAACCCTGTGTATAGGTGGATTCACATAGTTCAAGGGTCAACTGTCCTTACAAATTGAGAACAGTGCACTATACTTAGTCAAAGACAAAAGACTCAGCACATTGAAAGCACTGGTCTTTTTTTTCCAGACAGCATTTCATTCTTGTTGCCCAGGCTGGAGTGGAATGGCACGATCTCAGCTCACTGCAACCTCCACCTCCCAGGCTCAAGCAATTCTCCTGCCTCAGCCTCCTGATAGCTGGGATTACAGAAATATGCCACCATGCCTGGCTAAGTTTTTTTTGTTGTTGTTTGTTTGTTTGTTTGTTTGTTTTGTATTTTTAGTATAGACGGGGTTACTTCATGTTGGTTAGGCTGGTCTCAAACTCCTGACATCAAGCGATTCATCCACCTCAGCCTCCCGAAGTGCTGGGACTACAGGCTGAGCCACTGCTCCTGGCCTGAGAGCACTAGTCTTTATCATGCCCTAGCAGTTCACTTAGAATTCTGGAAAAAGTTCTCCTTATCTAGTAGAGGAAAGCTCTACATTTTAACAGTTTCATCCCATTTCTATTAAAACTATAAATACTGGAATACACTGTAAAGAATAAGTTTAAAAAATTTCAAGTTATGACCCTGAAAGTAAAAGACCCATAGTTGAATGATATACAAAATACTCTGTCAGTATCATAGGATTTTTAAAAAAGTATTAATGACTACCACACAATTCCAGATTATTAATAGTGAAATGTGCCTCAAGCAATGTACTGAGAGCTTACGCTATCAGTCCTTGATATATTATGAATCCATTTCATCATTATGAGGTTAAACACTGTTTAATGGTGCCAATAAAAAATGTGATGTAAAACAGTTTTTTCAAAAAAAGTTTTGACTCAGAACTGAGAATGTGTTTATAAATATAACCTAGAAAAGCACTGATTGATCTGTAGGAGAGACTCTAAAATGGATGCATCTCACTTCTCAACCAGACATAGAATTGCTGGAATAAAAAGGCAGTACCTGAAATCATAATTTTTGTTCAAGAATTGATTACTATATTCAAAAATAGGTTATCCTATTATTGACAGAGACACACTTTGCCCATTAATTTGGGTAGAGAACTTTTCCAAAGCATTTTGACAAGCTTCTCAAAGCCTGAATTCCCTTGCCAGAACTTTACTCGCCACTGATCTCCCTTATCTTCTGAGGCTAAAATTATTTCTGGATCAAGGGGAAATAAAATCAAGCAAAAACAATGGAACAGAACACCCTCACCTTCTTTGAACCTCTAAGTTTTGTGAAATCTGTGGGAGAGTGACTATGCCTATGAACTTTGGCTCCATTTTCATTTGAGACAAACGTCAGCGGTTCTCTTTCATGGCTGTGTGATTGAAACAATGAGTTCTCTAAGCATCATGCATTATTGGAGACATATGGTTTGGTGGAGGCTCAGGGACTGGACCAAAAGTCTCATCTAGACAAAAGCTGTAATTACCAGTCATGGACAAGTTAGACAAAACCCCAGGTGGAAATGCTATCCGCTAGTCAGCTCTTTTGGGAAAATCCAAAAGTAAAATATAATATGAACTTGTTGTGGCTTTCAGTTAAAAAAAAATTTAAAGCTCAAAGATACAGCAATAGTTTTAGAGCATTGGATACATTAAAAAAATATCAAATGTTTTGAAGCACACTTTGTCTATAGGACACTAGACTGAGCAAACTTAGGATAAAAACACCAAGAAAAGGTGTATTGTGTTTGCTCCCAACTTACTGGAGAGATGAAGCATACCTGCTTGAAGCATTAGAGACTAATTACAAAACAATCCAGGCAAAATTACATAGTGTGGTTATGATAAATTGGCACCAAAGGGAGTGAGAATGCGGGGGTCAGCATGGTGTCAGAAATGGATAGAGGAAGTCTTCACATGCATCAAGTGTATTTTATGGGATATCTTGTTAATTTGCTAATATTATGCTAATTTGCAGATGGCCAAATTAGGCATTTTGAGCCTAAACAGTGTTTAGGACATTACAGCATCCCATTAAGACTAATAACATCTTTTAGTTTTGGTAGAGGATTTTTCTGTTTTGAACACTTTTGTAGCCCCAGTAGCCGGTGGGCAATTGATTAATATCTGTTCTTCAGGTCAATGTTTTAAAAAACACACAATAGTATGGTGGTATAGCCTTGGTGGTCCCTAAGAACAAGCCCGAGTTTGACAGTCCTGTTCATGAATATGATATATTATAGTGAAAGGATGAAAAACAAAATCAGCAAGGGAAAAAGTCACATGGAGTGAAGTCCAAAGAAAATACGTGCAAGCTTCTAAGAGTCCTCTCATTGTGGGGTCATATATGACATACTTAATTCTTCCAGCAATCATTTGTAACATGTATAAAGTACTGTCTACTAGGGAAGCTCATTAGAGCCGAGTGCTCACGTGTTTTATTAGGGGCTATTCACATAGGCACCCCTGCAATCCAACTTTGACTACCAAAATTCTAGATACCTAGAGGAAAGTAGGTATTCAGCCTAGCCAATATTGTTTATATAAATAGTTTAGGTGCAATGAAACATTCTTGTCAGAGAAAAATGGGGACTATCTCAAAATACATGTCCCCAGATGTCAGCCAAGGGCCAACCTTGCAAGCAGGCTTGAAGATAGCTGACCCAGGCCTGCTGTATTAACTTTTTTTTTTTTTTTTGTACAATAGTTCTACCTATTTCCCTCTTGGGAATATCTGACTTTTTGTATAGATGAAAATCCTAGAAAGAAATTTGGAGCTTTCTTAGCTAAATTGATCTTGCATATCTTTCCAAAGTGGGTATACTTCAGAGGGGTGCCTTATTTATAACATAAAATGAGTCATCTCACCACCTGCACTATTACTCATTATGAGCCTTTGTGTTAGTTGCTAATATACGTCAAGTTCAAATGGTGCCTCATGCATTATATTTCCAAACCAATGCATTATCTTAAAGATTTGACCTGGGCCGGGCGCGGTAGCTCACGCCTGTAATCCCAGCACTTTGGGAGACTGAGGCGGGTGGATCACGAGTTCAAGAGACCGAAACCATCCTGGTCAACATGGTGAAACCCCGTCTTTACTAAACATACAAAAAATTAGCTGGGCATGGTGGCACGTGCCTATAATCCCAGCTACTTGGGATGCTGAGACAGGAGAATTGCCTGAACCCAGGAGGCGGAGGTTGCGGTGAGCTGAGATTGCGCCTTTGCACTCCAGCCTGGGTAACAAGAGCAAAATTCCATCTCAAAAAAAAAAAAAAAAGAAAAAGAAAAATTGACCTATGTTTATTTATTCATAATATTAATAATAATAGATTTTATTTCATAGGATAAGATAAAAAATATATATATATAAGCCAAAGATAAATATCAATTAGCAATATGGGTAAAATTTTATAAAATTCCAGGGAAATGGGCTATGTCAATTTAAAATTGTCAATTTCTTTTTCCAACACTTGTTTCTCATAAATAAATGAAAAGAGGCATAACAACTTGAAGACTTGGTTGGGTGCATCAAATTCTAGAAGAAAAGTACAAATGCTGATTCAGTGATACAACTACTTAAAATATACAGATGTATAGCATTTTATCAGAGAAATTGTTTCCTAACATTCTAAATCATAGTTATAACGCTAAACACTTCTGCATTTTCCATTAAATATGTCCACCAACTATGTATATTGGAATGTTGCACCAAGTTTCCGATGTTTTCTTCCACTTACTCACTGTCCCTTTTATTCCATTAACTATGTCCATGAGTCATTAACACAAGCCACAGTTTCTTTTAGCAATCTACAGTCATCTACCTCTCCTTAATAAAGGCAGATGGCAATCATGTCTAAGAAGGTTGAAGACTTCTTACAAAAGATTTTTTTTTTTCCAACAGAAAACTTATTTTCAAACAAATTTACTTGAAAGCCCAAGCAAACAGTGAAAAACAGAGCTTCAGAAGAGTGACACATTGGGAAAACTCAACACTGTACTTACTTCCCCTATTTTCCACGCCCAGCAGCTCTTGAGTGACACAGGCAGATTTCTAGAAATTAATCAAAGCACTATTTCCTCTACTCATTCTAGCATTCATTTGTTTATTAGTATGCAAATAAGTTAATTTGATCAAGTCTACAGTGCTAGTTCAGTGGGCGAAGCAGATGAAAGTTGCCCTGACTCCAAAGCATATGCCTGAAACAAAATATGACAAAAAACTTCTCCACTGTTTCTCAGGTAATTTGTCTCTGACCCTGGCTTTTCTACTCAGAAATGGAGAAAACAAGTCCCGGAGAGGGTAAGTCACACGTACAAACCATCTTTGCTGTTTGATATGACCTAACATTTAATTTTATTTCTTTGCTCCCAGAATATGGAATTGGCTACTAAATTATACAAGAATAGTGGTTTTATGTCTTAGTGTTACACTTCATTCTTCTTAAATATATATTTTCTCCCCTCCTTTTTGTTTCTTATATTCTATCATCACATTTACGTCTTTTGCCTGCACATTTCAATCACCAACGTCATTATGTGAGAATCAGGAAGTCCTTTGTGCAGCATAAATTAATACTCATAACATGATATAAAGGGAAAAAGAGCCTCATCTTATCTGTACTCTTGTCAGATAAATATATGTTATAGTAAATTACCTAATTAAACAAGCACAACTTGAAAATTAGATGTTTGTTTCTATACATCTTAGAAGAAGTAACCATTTTCTTTTTTGTGCTATTTATTATTCTTTCAGTTTGCAAAAGCTGAGTAATCAGGAATTCCACACCATGGCTTTAATTGCAAGTATATCCACCAAGTGCTGATGCGGGATATTCTGTTGCTGAGCTTTTTAAAGTGACAACTTTTTCTCTTCCTTTTTTTTTTTTCAGTAATTAAGGTGGCCTTATATAATTATACCTCACCCTCATCAGCACAATATTCTTCTCTAATATATACTGTTCCCTTTAATAGTCCAATTACTTGACAAAGGACAAAGATGATGACAATAATAACAGCCATAATACTAGCTAAAGTTGGTTGTCTGCACATCATGTGCTAAACAACATTGCAAGCATTTGAGAGGCATTGTTTCATTTCATAATGTCAAGAACATTATTTAAACATTTCTGAATGGATCAACAACAAACTAATCCAACTCACTAGCATTTATTCTTCTCTGGTGCTCTGCATCACAAGGAATTGGGACTGCACACTCATGTGTTGTACATCACACTGCCTTGGGCCATTGTTTAACATCTCATGTACCAGTTATTATTAATCAATGTATTTATTTATCAGAAGGCTGAAACCTGGGGATTTCCTTTTCTAATGTCTCCCTTACCATACCTCACCTACCATTAGGCTCTGCAAATTGTGTCTCCTAAATCAGGACTCCTCACACTCTAAGGTGCCTATGAATCCCTGGGGGTCTTGTTAAAATGCAGATTCTGAATCAGCAGGCCAAGGGTGTATCTTGAAGCCATGCTGCTGTTTCAGAAACCGCACTTTGAGAAGTGAAGTCCTCAACAGTTCTAGAACTGATCATTTACTCTCCATTGCTGATCTTGGCTATGAGAGAGGGTCCGACAGCCCCATCTGTGAATGGGTTCATGGGACTAAATCCCAACATGACCGTGTTTTCTCATATTGCTCGGGATACAATTCTTCTTATTTTTCTATATCTTTCTTCTGTATTTAATTTTGTAGAGCTCTAATCAGGCATAAAACATATTCCTCTGTTACTCTGGTAAGAGAGTACATAGTTTTAAGTTTTTGCTTTTGTATAAAGATTGTAAATGCTTTCAGGTTTTTCAGAAAAACTATTCCCAAGTATCTGTATACGATGGCTCTTAACCCAGATGTCTTAACGTCTTAAAACAGTATAAACAGTCTTTTTCCAGAATGTCGCTGATGGGCATTTAGACAAGAGCCTGGTGAAGTTCATCCTGTGGGCTGGCCGATTTTTCGTGAACCTCAAACTGCAAGCTAATTTTCCAGAGATATAATGGTGAACACTTTTAGCACTTGGAGTTTGTCTTACTGTCCCATGAAACCTTCTTCATCCACTTTCTTATCCCTGTGAATGACCCTGCCTAAAAATGCCTTGCTTGTGAAACAAAGTACTTGAATTAATGGCATCATGTGAAAGGATGCTGTGAAAAAAAGATTGAACAGACAGGTGTGATGGGAAAATATTATAAAAAATGCTAAATTGCTTTAATTTGTAAGTCAAGGAAATACACACAAAAGTAAGCTGTTTTTTCTCAACCTAAAAGATTGGCCAAAAGTAAAACAATAATATCCAGTATTATTATTCATAATACTGTTGTATAATGAAGTTTAAGAGAAGCTTGGAAATATATACGTATTATAAATGTATATGTATTATAAATATATGTATTATAAATATGTTCTTTTCCATGTACAATAATTCAACTACTGAGTATTTATTATAAAGAAATTACTAGGCTAGTGTGCAAGTATAGTTTATACACATATATTTAGATAAACACTGGATGAATATAAGTGGCATTTCTTGATATTAAAAATTAAAAACAAAATATAAAAATATAGGAAAATTGTTACATTAGATTGAACCATATTGAACTAAAATGTACATGATTATCTGGTATCTAAAAAGTCATTTTTATATAATTCAATTTGATTATAGTACATGCAAATAATAGAATATCAGTACACCATTAAAATGCACTCGTATATGTATATATGAACATAGAAAACACCTATGGAAGGCTTTCCTTCTTGAGGGTACTTCAAAGAATTTTCTTCTGATGATGACATGATAATATGTGTTATTAGAAAAGTCATTTCCAGTTACTGTATTGGAATCCAGTAATTACATTTTCAATAAGAAAAGTGAAAACTATTAAAAGCAAAAATGTGAAATAAATTAGCTTTATATCCTATACTCAATTAAACTATTATAGCAAGAAGGTAATGAATTTAGATAATTTGAGGATAGGAATTAGGCTTTACAAAGCAGAGATTTAACACTCCTCTAAAATCCATTAAAATACTCTAAAAGAAGATCACAGCAAAGCGGGTAGCCCACAGACACTTCAGATAAATTGTGATGAGCATGCTAAGTAGGTAGAAAAGAGTTTCTGGTCTCAGAAGTGTTAGAGGCACATGCATAAAGTGGCTCAAACATGTAAAATGTGGCATGGTGACAGTGTGCTGAACAGCAAAGCTGAGTTTTCCACTAGCTTCATTGCTTTAGAGAGCAGCAAGATACGTCTGTTCTTTAGCCATGTGTTCTCCCAATGAATACAAATAACATTCAAACAGTCATTGATTTATAAGCACATGACGTATTATAAAAGGTATACTTTAAAATGGTAAACTGTTCTTACTTCCCTCTTCGAACTATCCTGGGCCTTCCAATGCATTTGGAAGAAAAACGAGATTCCCTACCAGGGATTGGGAAGCACTATGGCTTCCACGTTTTGCCTGTCTCTCCAGGGTCACTCTCCATGGTTCACACTGGCTTTCTTTCTGTTTGTAAAACAGACTAAACTCAGTCCTGCCCCCATGTTTTTGCACTTCATGTTCACTCTGCCAGAAATACTCTTTCTCCTGATGCTTGCAAGGCTAGAAACTTGTCATTTAACCTGGGCTCATGTGCTACCTCTTCAGAGTTCTCCAACCACCAGCCAAACAAAATAATCCCTTAACCTACCCCAGTCATTTTCTATGACATGACTGTTTCTTAAGTTTGCTTCCCAATGTGTTTCAGCATCTGACATTCCTTCCTGTCTGTCTCCCGTCATTCAAATGTAAACCCCGTGAGAGAGAGTAGGATGTATCCCCGGTTCCTAGAATAGTACCTGGCACAGAGATGCTCAATATGCTGTGGAATAAGTATTGGATTGGTCTAGATTGTTCCAGTTGTGTGATTAGAATGGTTGAGGGCAGCAGCCATAAAATGATGGAGAGCCCATGGATCCCACTTTTCCAGAATTCCAGCCAGAGCTGGGCCAGGTGACTTTCTCGACCAAAAACACCACACTACTTTGGTTGTTTTGCTTATTTGCTTTATTTCACTTTGGTATGAACTAAATTACCAGTAACCAGATCAGTGCTAAATACTGGTTTGTATTACTTTTAATACAATTAAAACACCTGAAGGTTCTGGAATGAGGTCCTAATGAGACATTTACTTGAGAATTACTGTATTTTTCACATATTCACAATGACTTTTTAAAGTAAAATTTCACTTCAGAGAATCTGGATTGTAGATTTGTGCATGTCTGTGTTTCATTCTCTAAACATGATGTTATACCTCAATATTGCTGTTAATTCTTTTCAAAATACACCATGGCTCAGTTTCAAAATGTCTCACCATCTGGGCAGACACCCTTCTCTTGCTTCTTGAAAATCACTGAAGCAGAGCAATGTTTCTCCATCCATTATTCTCCTACCCTGGAGGGTGCAAAGATATATTTTTAGAAGTCCTTGAGAATATGTGTCCTTCTAAAGAAATAAGTTGCACCAAACACAAACTGCTGAGGTAAACAGCTAAAGGAAGACTTATATTTAGAACACTGATGTTTCCAGGAGGACAAAATTTCTATCAATCATTCACACTATAGAATAATTTAGCTTAATCAGAAGGCCAGAGATAGGTGAAAACGAAAGTGGGGTTGTGTGTGCTGAAACAAACCATTTTTAAACCTTGCTTATTGTTCTGGAGTTGAGAAAAAGAAAATGTAATCACCTTCTTCCACGTTTTCATTGCTACCAGAATACAGAATTTAGATTTTTCCTCTTAGTGGTTTATTTAACCTCTTTGTAGTTTAAGGCAATGTTTACAGGTTAACATGGAATAACTAGATTCCAAACCTAATTAATAAAGTAAAATAAATTCTGAATTTAAAATCCAGCGTACAAAGTCTTCAGCTCCCCCTTAAGACTATAATGCCTCAAGGGTGGGCTACATTATACTAATTGTTCAACTCCCAGGCCCCATAAATTGCCTCTCCAGTAAATCTTCAGTGAAACTTCTGAGCATAAGAGCTGAGACTTGGGGACACAAATGATTCTTATTTGGGGCCTGTGTTTTAGATTTCCTAACTTAAGGAACTGTTCACTGTTTGTATCTACGCACTTCACGTGGCCCAAAGACAGTATCTAACTTTACATTATCAGGATACTATCCCCTTGTCTGCATAAACAAGGTTTTCTCCACTCTGGAAAACAAAGGGTCCAGTTAGGTGTCAGCCTCCCAGCAGGAGACAGCTGAATTGGTCACAGGCAGAGCTGCCAGAAGCAGCTTCTGTAACAGCAGGCAGAGGGATACCTAACACAGTAAGAGATAGAAACAGCCACTTCTAACCTCAGACCTGGCAGCAGTGTGAGAAGGAAAACTTCAGGAAAAAAAAAAAATCCAGCAAAGCATGCCCTATTCTCATCGCCTTTGCCAAATAAACAGTGTGATCTCTATTTTTATTAACGTTATGAAACACACAGTTCTCAAAAATAGAACAGGAGGAGGGATTAGGTGTGGGTAAACAGTTCAGCTGTGCACATCCTTCAACCATCCAGTGACCAGAAAGGACTCCAACCCACTTTCCCTAGAGAGCCAACAAGTTATCATAGCTGCAAGGTGACTGGATGCAAGGCAAGATAAATGGAGCAAAAATACAACACTCAGAATAAGGAAGACTTGAAAAAAGTTTAGTTAAGAAAAAGAAATGCAGTCTCTCAGTGTCTTATGGATATTGCGAGGGCAGAGAAGAGTAATGTGAACATCTTCCTTTTACAGCTCAGCCTAATTTGGCATGCCATTATAATTTCTAGCTCAGTTAGCAAATGACTGGAAACACTGCTTTCTGCAATTTTCCCTAAAATATGACAGTTCTATAAGTTGTTCTATTGATGTACTTGAAACTAACCCAAAGCAGGGAACTGTTGTAGGTGCCTGTGTGTAGTTCCCTGAGTGACAAACTGAATATTACGGTTATAGATTTTGGAGGGAAAAGACTTGACCAATTTCAAGAATGAAGAAGCCTAGAATTCCAGCACTAGGGATTAGCCCATTTGGATCAACCATGTGCTCTCTGGAATAATATCTTTTATAGGAACATATATGAGAAGGTTTTATGTCATAGGCAGTCTCCAGTGATATCTTCACATCGGAGAGGGCATGCATGTCTTGAAGTCAAACCTACCTTTTTTCGAAGAGGTAAAAGAAGAAAATATTTTTAAGTGCCTTAAGCTCTAAACAAAGGCATCGAGGGCAGATGCTGTTGTTTCTTATAAATAGGGTGAACGTGAATAACTTATATAACTTGTTTGAACTCTGAACTTTATCTGTAAAGTGAGTGATAGTTGAGGGTGTCAAAAATGAATGGGAAGAAAGCCAAAATAATGTTTTATTATCAGGTTAGTCAACACTATGGTAGGTTCTTGATCCCAACGAGACTTCCATGAACCCACATATAATACATTTCAGATTTTTCACATCAGGTCCCAACCCCCACTGCTCAAGGATGGCCCTACAGGCATTAACTCCTGTGTACTTCTGGCTTTGCTGCTACAAGGGCAGGTCAGGTTTTTCTGGTATCACTTGCCATAGCCTTAAAGAAACCCCAAGGGAGGAGGCAGAAATTTGTCATTGGAGGATTCACAGAGAACAAAAGGAGGCTCTGTCTAGGAACAACCAATCATAATGGGGACTATATATATATGGGGCGGGAGGAGGGGTGGGTCTCATTCTTTCACCCAGACTGGAGTGCAGTGACACAAACACAGCTCACTGCAGCCTAGACCTCCTGGGCTCAAGTAGTCTTCCCACCACAGCCCTCCAAGTAGCTGGGATTACAGATATGCGCCACCATACCCAGCTAATTTGTGTATTTTCTTTAGAGACGGGTTTTTGCCATGGTCTGGAACACCTGGGCTCAAATGATCTGCCCTTCTTGGCCTCTCAAAGTGCAGGAATTACAGACCTGGACCACCACGCCAGGCAGAAGGGAAAGATTTTAAGTGGCACAAAAGAAATGTCAAATGCAAATATTTTATGTTTATGTGTTTAGTTATTTAATAACTGTTTCCTGTCTCGATGAACTATAAGAGAGCAGGCAAGTTGTTTTAACTCACTCTTGTCACACCTGTTCTGTCCCTGACCCTATAGAGGGTGAATATGTGTTGAAGAGACAGAAAGTACAGAAAATAGTTACCTTCAAATTTCAACTATGATTTTTTTTGTATTTTAATAGTGATCCATATTTGTTGTCATTTTATTTATCATTGGTTTTAAAGGTTACATTTCTTTAAGCACCTTTCCTTTTTCAATTAACTATTTACACTATTTTTGCTTTGATGCGGTTTTATATTTCCAATAACTGAATTACAGATCTTTTCAACACTTGTT